GTGGTTGTTCTCCAGATTTCTTGGTGCAACTTGGTGAGCACATCTAGGGGAATATCTGTTAGCTGAAATATGTCAACTGGTATACCATCTATTCCGGGGGCCTTATTTTTTGCTATTTCCTTCAAAGAAGCTTGAACTTCTGCCTTCATCACCATAGGCTCTTGCTTAAATGTTATTTCATTAAATTCTTCTGTATCTACCAATTCCTTTCTATACAATGACTCAGTATATTCCTTCCATCTTTTTTTGATGGAAGGAATATACTGAGTCAGTTTTCCTTATACAAAAATATTGAAATAAAATGCATGTGTGTATGTACATGACAGCAAGAAAAGTTACTGCCAGTATCTTTTACCATCTGCTAATCTTTATCACTTAATATACTGATTTCTGTCTGCAAATAGTATAATGGCTATTGTAAAAGGCCAGGTATTTCAGATAGAAGTTTTTAAAAATAAAGTACACTTGTTCAGATGAGTTCTGCAGACATTAAAACCTCATCAAAAGTATTGTTGAAAGGCTAAAGAAGTATTAACAGAACACTAAAGACAGCAAAAAAAGCCACTTAAAACTGCAAGGAATCAGTCTTCGCAGTTGAACAAATTTCTTAACAATCACACTTCAATATCTACACTGAACCTATAATGTAAAATCTGTGATTTCCCAATATAACAATATGCCCATCTACTGCAGCAGAATTAATCAAACCTAGACACTATTACATTCTGTTTGTTTCCTTCACACCAACAAGGAGAGCATTTTGTACTTAAGGTTGTATTCTAGAGGATTAAAATGTCTCACAAATTTGTAACAAATTACTTCTGCTCACTGATCAATTATGAGGATATAAAACTCATTACAATGATCAAAGTCCAAGTAAAATGATCTTCAGTACAAGCTGCTCTGCAGAATTTCATAATATTCATCATGTTCTAAACATTTTAGGAATAAAAGAAAGTAAAGTTAAACAGCTTGTTTGAATGAAAAATAAATAGAAGCTGAAAAGATTACGTTTTTAAGAAATCAGGTTAAAAGTAAAATGGAAACAAATGGGTTTGTTATACACAACAAATCATTCATAATTAAAAACATTATTAATACTGAAACAGCAGGAATATATGATCACAATTCCAAACCCAAACTATAGTAGACGCATGTGTCTATAAAGCTAATGCTTAACTTTTTAAAAAAATATAAAAGAAATTTGAAATAACTCTAAAAGTTACTTAGACTAAATAAATGAAGTAAATGTCTACTCAAGTTTAAAATGTAGGCTTTCATTGTATTTTTACAGTACCATTCTACTAAAGGCAGCACGTATTCTACTATTTCTAGACTCTTTTCCAAGTAAAAAATGAAGCAAAGAGTTATTTTAATAATCTGTCATACTTAAAAAGTACCAATTTAACAGGAAACTTGGAAAGTTGAAATGGCTAAAAAATTTTTTATCAACTTAAATTTGTTGTGCGTTATTTTGGCCCTTAAAAAAACCACAATAAATCAGCAACAATAGCAAAGTTCAACAGGACAGCAAACAACAAATGCTGGCGAGGTTGTGCAGAGTGGAACTTTTATTCACCACTGGTGGGAATATAAAAAATACCATTTCACCCAGCAATTCCATTATTGGGAATATACCCTAAAGAAATCACAGCCATGACTCAAAGCAGATGTATGCACATTCCTGTTTATTGCTATTGCTGTGTTATTCACAATAGCAAAAAGTTGGAAGCAACCCAAGTGCCCATCAACAAATGAATAGATAAAAAAACTGGTACCTTCATATAATGGAATATTACACTGAAAAACAATGAACTCTTAAAACGTTAAACAGTGTGGAGGAGCTATCTTAGTTACTAAAGGACAGAGACTGCATATCACTGTTATAAAACAGGACAGACATGGGCATGTTGGGGAGAGAATAAGAAAACAGTAGATAGATAATGAACACAGTATTAGATTAGATGAGGGGAAGAACTGTTCAAAGGAATGTATGATTAGGCATTACACGTATAACAACACTCTGGAACAAGGGGTGCATTGCGGGAAGGGCTGTAGGAGGCAGGAAGAAAATGTGCAATAATGAAAAAAAGAACATTTCCAGTGTTGTTTTTTTTAAAAAAAAAACACCCCACACAGTAAAATGAAAAAGAACCACTAACTTTTCAAGTCTATGTTAACTAATAAGACAGAGCAAAAAGTTTACTGAATACGGAAATTAATAAATACAAGTGCTACTTAGATTTTTGTTTTACTTCATGTATAGTAAAATTAATTATATATACTTAAACATACCTGAATTACTTTGTCTACTTTCAGGTCTTCAAGAGATGGATACAGAGACATTTTGTCAGAAATTTCCTATTGGGGGGAATAAAACATTTATTACTCAAGTGTCAAGAATATTCATAAATATGTTACAGTTAACATTTAACACAATAAACATTTAAACTACATACTTGAAAAGCTATGGATATCTGGATCATGCACCAAATTGTTCACTGACAAGATAACTAAACACCTCTAATTCCTCTATTGAATGCCATCAATCACAGATTTTTAAAATTCCCTTTCCATAAAATGTCCTTCATTTCAAAAGTTCAGAACCTTAAGGTGAAAAATTAAGGGACTTACCCAGTGTGCACAAGTGTTTAGCAACTAAATTTGTTCTCAAGGACTGTTCTGAAGTGTAGTGCTCTTTAGCATTACATACTGCCTTCTTGTGTAGCATACATACAGAAAATTACCGTCAACAGAGAACACTGTGTATGTGAACACACACAAAAAGAATACACACCAACTGCTAATTGGTTTCTCTTAAGACATGACTGGGTAAAAGGGCAAAAGGACAAGAGGGAAGTTTTTACTTTTAACTTTAAAAACTCCTACATGATTTCATTTTGCAGTGACTGTCATGGATTGAATTGTGTTTGTATGTAATGACATAATATGGAAACTATGTAATAATAACTCTTATGATCTGATAAAATCTAATAGATGCAAGAGGACTAAGGGTGGAATGTAACAAAAGCCTGCTCAACTGTAAGGGTAGCTTCCCAGGGTGTGGCCTACTGACTAGAGATAAAAGGGGAAGAAAGTGGTGGGCCCCTCAGTACCTCCAGGGAAGAACTGTCAGTACAGTGCATCCTCTACACAGGGAAGCTCCCTGTCAAAACAAAAACATGGTGCTTTCCAATAACATCCGGCCTCATGAAGAAAACAAGGACCTTCTTCCAGAACAGCCAGGAAGAGAGGCCCTTCCCTTAGCGCCTTACATGGGACCCTCCAGCCTTCTAAACTGTAAGATAGGGAGCTCTAGTGGCATATTCCACAGCAAGTAGTGCTAACCCAAAGGTCATGTGTCTCTAGTGGTTCAAAGCCAAAGACAGGAATCTCCGCTTGTAAAAGTCTGCAGCCTGGGAAACCTACCAGAGGGTCACTATGAGCTCGAATTGATTCAAGAGCAATGTATTTTGAGTTTTTAAACTGTAAGAGAAAAAGTTTTCCACTTGTGATATCTGTTACAAGACACAAGGGAGAACTAGGATGGCATCATGACTTTGTTTTGTATAGTAATTCAAATGCAATTAATTTTTTTTAAAAAAAGTATCTAAAAATATTACAAGGGACTATTTTGACATGAATATACACTGAATGCTTCCATTAAACCCAAAAGAACAAAATCTATTCCTTATTTTATACACATACACACACACACACACACACACACACACACACACGTTATGTGTAACACTGATTTGGAACTGACTCATAACTGACCATCCTATGAGTTTTCAGAGGCATCTTTTCCCCACAGAGCAACTGGGTTTGAACAGCATGCCTTCTCTTGCAGACAGTTAGTTCATCGTTCTGCTGGTGGACCAGAACCAATGGCCTTTGGGTAGACAGCACAATTCCTTACCACTAAACCATCAGAGCTCCTACACACATAATAAAGTTGTTAGATGCTGTCAAGCTGAGCAACCCTCCTACGAACAGATCTGAACCCTGCCCTATACTGTGCCATCCTCATCTTCTCTGACACACTTGAGCCTAGTGCTGCAGTCATTGTGCCAATCCATCTCATTAAGGATCTTATTCTCTTTCACTGACCTTTGATCTTCCCTAGCATGATGTCCATTTTCAAGGAAAAGCCCCTCTTGCTACATGCCCCAAGTACATGAGATGAAGCTTTGCCATCCTTCTTCAGCTTTAGTATGAACTTGCACAAGGCAAGTTCAAAGTAAAGCTGAATAAAATGAAAACAACCCCACTAGAACTAAAATATGACCTTGAGTTTATTCCACCTGAATTTAAAAATCATCTCAAGAACAGGTGTGAGGCACTGAACATTAATGACTGAAGACCAGATGAGTTGTGGGATGACATCATCTACGAAGAAAGCAAAAGGTCATTACATAAAGACTGAAAATAGATGTCAAAAAGACTCTTAAATTGCACTAGAGCACGGAGAAGACAAAACAATGGGAAGAGATGCAGAAGTGAAGGAGATGAAAAGAAGATTTCAAAGGGAAACTCTAGAAAACACAGCCAAGTATTATAACAGAATGTGCAAAGAGCTCGAGTTGAGAGAATAAAAGGGGAAGAACACACAAAACAGACCCTTTAAATGTTTCTCCTTTTCCAGCAGGCATGATGCTCAACATTATCAGTGGAGGAAGCTGGAAGAGGGGTGTAAAGTATAGGCAGACTGCTGCAGATGACAGAAAAGTTTCCCTAGCACTGGGCACGCTACTTTTCTAGCATCCGTCTTCAGGGGATGGTTTCTCAAGCACTCAGTTTTAAGGCACAATAGCCAACAGTTGGCTGAACAGGACAAGAGAACACTGCACAGTTTAACATCAAGAAGGGTGTGTGTCAAGGTTTTATCCCTTCTCCATACCTTCCAATCTGTATGCTGTACAAATCATTTGAGGAGGAAAAAGATGGTATCAGGATAGGAGGAAGATTCATCAACAACTGGTGTTAGACAGACAGCATGAAGTTGCTTGCTGAAAGAAAGATTTGAAATGGTTCTGCAGAAGAGCAAAGACTATGGCGTTCAATATGGGTTAATGTTTCAATATCAAAGACAAAAATCCTCCCCACGGGGCCAACAGGCAACATATGATAAATGGAGAAAATAGAAATGATCAACAATTTCATCTTTCTTGGATCCACAATCAACATTCTTGGCATCAGTAGTCAAGAAATCAAAAGACATATAGCACTGGGAAAGTCTGCTGTAAAGGAATTCTTCAAAGTACTGAGGAGCAAATTGAGGTGCACCTGATCCAAGTTATGGTCTTTTCAATCACTTGCTATGTGAGATTCATCTCACAATCTCACATACTTTGGGTAAGTTGTTAGAGTCGGCTATTCCCTGGAAAGGAACATCACACTCAAAAGATAGAGGGTCAACAAAAGAGAGGAAGACCCTCGACCAGTGATGGACTGACAGAGTGACTGCTGCAATGGTCTTGAGTATGTCAGAGACGGTGAGAATGGTCCAGGATAGGACAGGGCTCTAATCTGTTGTTCAGTGGGTCGCCATGAGTTATACTCAATCTGAAGGCATCTAACAACCACCTTATGATGTTGCTTATTGGTCCAGTAGTGAGAAACAAAAATGCTCACCACTGGAATAGGCAGTATTATAATGATAAGAAAAGACTGAAGTTGTCATTTTATTTGGATCCACAATTACTATCCATGACAGCAGCAGTTAATAAATCAAACACATTACACAAATCAAATCTGATGTCAAGGACCTCTTTAAACTGCTAAGGAGCAAAGACGTCAATGTAAAAATTAAGATGTGTCTGATCCAAGTCATGCTATTTTCAATTGCTTCATCTGCATGTCAAAACTGGACAATGAATAAGAAACAGTCAAGAATTGATGTCTTTGAATAGTGGTGTTAAAGAGTCCTGAATATAGTACAGACTGACAAAGGAACAAGTACATCTTGGAAGAAATGCTCTCTTTGGAGGTAAAGATGATGAAAACTTCATCTCACATGTTTGGATATGTTGTCACAAAGCACCAGTCCTTGGGAAAGATATCATGCTTAGAAAAATAGAAGATCAACAAAAGAGAAGACCTTCGAGGGATAGACTGACACAATAACTGGAACAATGGAGTGGCACATGGCCAAGATTGTGAGGACGGGACAAGACAGAGTTTTGTTCTGCTGGTCAGGGTGGGTCACTGTGAGTCCTAGCAAACTGATGACATCTAATAAGTATCTGTCTGAGGTAATGAAAGTTTGGCCACAGATAATGGTGGTAGCTATATAATATTTCTAATGTAATAAAAAAAATAAGAAAAAACTGACCAAGCTCATTTTCTAACTCAAAGTTGCATTGCCAATGCAAAAGTATATGGTTCAAATCCACCAGCTCCTCCACAGGAGAGAGATCGGCAATCTCTTCCCATGAAATTTACTTACTGCCTCTGCAAATCGGCCAGAGGGATAGCTATGGGTCACCTGCAACTTGGTAGTACAACAACAACTAAAGCAACTCATTTTCTCCCAAGGAGGGTTCAGTGTATCCAAACTACTAATCTTTTGGTGAGCAGACTAATACACTCACACAATATACTACCAGGGCTTTTATACCAAAAGGGTCAACGCTGAACTAACTATCCAAATAAGAATTGTTAAATTGGTACTGCTGAGTGACAACATTGCCAGATTCTGCTTTGCTACACCAAATCTAGGTTGCAACACCACCCACCCACATCTTCAAACTTCTGGACAGTCAAGCGCATTTTCAAACTTCTGGATAGCCAGGCTTTTAAGAGGAAAGGGGAATAACCTATGAATTATTCGTAAACATCACGACCCCTAATAAGAGCAAGAAGATGCTATCACTTAGAAAGTAGTTTTTATTACTTACAAGAAGGGGACAGCAGCATACAGATAATCTGTTCTCCTCAGATCAAAAATACAGTGTTAAGAGCAAAAAGACCCACTTTCCAACTTACAAAAGAGAAAAAAAAACAACACAAAAACCAACACTTTTCAATGGGGCAAGCCTCTTTGGGCACAGCTGTACTTTAAATTTCTGCTACTATGGGCTCTACTTCTCTTAGACAGCAAATAAGAGAACTCTGACGATTTAGGAAGTAAGGAGTTGCACACCAACCCAAAGACATGCAGTTCAAATCTACCAACTGTTCTGTGGGCAAAGATAGGCAATCTCTTCTGGCGTGATTTACTGCAGCTTTGAAAACCAACTGGAGGGTAAGTTATGAGTCGGTTTCAACTCAACACATCTACAAACAGCAAAGGGGGTGAATAGTCTAACCCCATAAATCACTTCCACATAAATACAGAATATCAAACTAT